ATTAACAAATTTATTACCCCAAAACCCCAAAACCCCAGCAAGAAAATTTTGTGATTGAATTGAACCAATTAATTTGAAAATGGATAAATTCTTCCTCAAGTAATATTTAAGGAGGACCCTATAATCATATAAAGGATTTAAAGTAATCACTTAGTCTATACACAGAGTTAAGTAATCAACAAATGTTCATAATTTATTTTTCTTTGATGCCTAAGACATTATACTTTCTTTATCTTTATCTTCTTCTGATGATTCCTTGTCAAAAGAGCGATTGAGTCTCTTTCCCAATAAAAATTGCATATTTTAGCTTAATCTATCGAAAAATTGGTCTCCACTCATTTATTATACTACTGATTCTTCTTATTAATCATTCTTCGAGTCACTTTCAGGCTGGAATGTCATGTTATTCTTTTATTTAAAAGGATTGAACTTTCCTTCACTTTTAAGAGAATCACTGCTCTCATAGTGATGCTTGGTTGTTTGTTTATATATGTACTAAGAGTTTTGACCTCGTATCATATCCTGACCCAAGTCTTAAAGTGAAAGAATGAAATAATTTTACTAGTTTTTATCATTATCATTGATAGGATTAGTTGATTTCGGACTCCCATTATTTTATGTTGCCCCATTTGTTTGCTTTGGTTTGGCGAACGTTGTATTTAGTTGATTCTGATTTTGCGATAGAAAATTTTAGAAAGATTAATCAGTATGGTTGAGTGAAGGAGACTAAGGGACCCCTTATGTACTCTGAAGTTTCATTTAGTCCAGAATTCGCTGTTAGAGGACATGCGTATTTTGCAAACACTAAGCGAAGACATTAAGACTCTTTTGAATGTTTTCAACCGTACTTTCGATCGCATTCAGTCGATTTGAAAGTAATTTTATTTAATTGTCATCGTTCTCTGAGTTTCCATTTTGTGAGTCATTAGACCTTGAGCTACCTTGTAATGGTGCTGAGGAGCTAGAATTGTTAGGCATGGTATCTGGTGAATCTTAACTCTCGAGAATATGTCGTGTTACCCCGATAAAAGGAGAAATTATATATTATCCGTCATTCTTATATACAAGTTTATTACAAGCCTGTGCCAGGGATATCATTTACTGAGCTGTGGCGAATTTAGCAGAGGTCAAAATTGAATTCTCATGATCTGGATTTTCCTTGAGATGCTTTATTTTTTACTCATAGTTTAACATAAGCCAGCACTTTGCACAAAGTACTTAACGATTAGATTTGGTTTTTATGTATTCGATCTAACTTACGAAATTTTCCCACTCTTTGCTATCCTTTTTAATCATCTATTATATTAAATGTTCTCTTCAATAACCCTTAGATTGATTTTTTTCTCATAATCATTAATCGTCTGTAGATTATTTTATTTAAACTTTGTATTACTAAAACTAAACTGGGATATAAAATGGTTTCAAAATACTGAATATATTTTCTATCTAGATTTTCCTAGAAAACTAGATGCTTCCACTCTCTGATAAAAACTTCCATTATTATCTCTAATTATATGAATATTGCCTTTACCCTGAGAGCCACTGATAAATAGCTTCTTTGGGGTTTTGGGGTTTTGGGGTTTTGGGGTTTTGGGG